TCCTGGTCCGTGTCCTGCCCCGTGTGCTCTCCTGGTCCGCGTCCTGCCCCGTGTGCTCTGCTGGTCCGTGTCCTGCCCCGTGTGCTTTCCTGGTCCGTGTCCTGCCCCGTGTGCTCTCCTGGTCCGTGTCCTGCCCCGTGTGCTCTTCTGGTCCGTGTCCTGCCCCGTGTGCTCTGCTGGTCCGTGTCCTGCCCTGTGTGCTCTGCTGGTCCATGTCCTGTCCCGTGTAAGTCTGGACATCATGGCCGGCCGCGTGGTGGCGTGTGCTGGGACGGAGGTGGAGACAGAGTCCACCTGGGAAGTGGGGAGTTGGGTGTTAGGCTGGGCTTGCAGCTCAGAGAGGCTGTGGATGTCTCAGCTGAGGTGGGCGGTGCCCGCAGCACCCCGAGGCAGGTGGTGCCCACGTTGGTGGGAAAGCACTAGTTAGGCCTCTCCCACATTCAGAATCTCTGGCTCAGCTCTGTGCTCACAGCTCTGACAGCAGCTGGCAAGGCTCTGGCTTTAAGGACTCATATGTTAGAATGGACCCACCCGGAAGACCCAGGACATTCCCTCTGTCTGAAGGGCCTCAGCGCCAGCCAGGTCTGGAGTCCCTTTAGCCATGCATAATGCTGAATTCACATTCCAGGGCGACAGAGGGTCCGTGTCCTGCCCCGTGTGCTCTGCTGGTCCACGTCCTGCCCCGTGTGCTTTCCTGGTCCGTGTCCTGACGTCCTGCCCCGTGTGCTTTCCTGGTCTGTGTCCTGCCCCATGTGCTCTCCTGGTCCGTGTCCTGCCCCATGTGCTCTGCTGATCCACGTCCTGCCCCATGTGCTCTGCTGATCCACGTCCTGCCCCGTGTGCTTTCCTGGTCCGTGTCCTGCCCCGTGTGCTCTCCTGGTCCGTGTCCTGCCCTGTGTGCTCTCCTGGTCCACTGTGACCACTGTCCCGTGTGCCCGTCTGTGCTCAGACACCCTGAAGTGACGCATGGTGGTGCTCCCTGTCCCTGTGTGTCCTTACATATGTGCCAGCTGTTAACTGAACTTCCGTCTCTCCTTCAAAGCTTCCCCACCTCTCTCCTTCCCTCCCGTTTATTTCATGCTGGCCACCCACAGCTGTCGGCCCCAGCCGGCATGTCCCCGACCCGTCCCTGTCCTGGACGGTGGGCTGCAGAGGTCTCTCTCCAGCAGCAGAGCAGGGCCTGGAGCCAGGCGGAGTGGTGTGGAGTGGTGTGGAGGCTCACAGAAGCACGGGGACAGAGGTGGGCTTTGTCATTTGACGTTTTCTCAGGAGTTGGGAACCTTGGACACTTGCTTACACCCCTTGAAGCACTTTCCGTATTCCACGTGCATCTCATTCAGCTGGTACTTGCCGAATCTGTCAGCCGTGAACCCACGAGGAGGCGTGCTTCCCTCTCGCCCAGCCATCCGAGGCACAGAGGGTGTTGACGGTTCTGAGCTGTGGGGGCACCCCTGCACGTTTGCTCGTGTGTGTGGACCCCAAGTCCCCCTCGTGGACTGTCGGCTCTCAGGTGGCCGGGACATGTTGAGCCTGGAGCTGCTGGTACCGAGGCCGGGCCCACACGGGGTCAGCGGTTGCGTGGTGGCGCCAGGGGGAACGGAGCCCCTGGCTGTGCGCACACTCGCTGTGTGCCTCTTCCTGGGCTGCTCTCCAACATGGCCGTCGCTCCCTCTGGCCTGCCTTGGCTGCTGGGAGGCTGGGCAGACGACGTGGTCAGGAGTTGAGACTGGGGCACGTGAGGCCACAGCAGCAGGACAGAGTGGCCACTTGAGGGCTCCAGGCCAGCACTGGTCTCTGCTGCCCTCCCTCCAGCCTCCCCTGCCTTCTCCCCCACGGAGCTGACCTCGGAGGGGAGAGGGGAGTGTGGGCCGTGGCCTGCCTGCATTTTACGTGCTGCGGAGGACCCAGATCCCCAGATTGTGAGGACCCCGTGGTGATGGGGCAGCACGGGGAAGCCCAGGGGCCTGCTGGGAGTTGGAGCTCCTCCGTGGTATGTGTGGATGACCTGCACTCACGTGGGAGCCGAGGGGTCGCCACTGGCCTGTGTCCGGGCCGAACACCTTTCCTTAGAATGAGACCGCGCCCTGAGCGCACTAGAGAATAGCAGAGGGCAGCTAAGGCGAGGACCCCCCTGGGACAGGCCCTCCCCAGGGAAGGTCTGTGGGGCAGAGGACCAGAGCAGAGCGTGCTGGGTCTTCCCTCCGCCTGCCCTCACGCTGCTGCTGCTGCTGCTGCTGCGACGACTACGGGCGGCCTGTGCATGTCTCAGCCCACCCCGGGGCTGTGGCGTGTGGCGTCTGCATCTTCCCTGACCCTCTGTCTCTCTGACAGAGAACTTGGGCCACGGCTCCTTCACGTACATGTCGGCTGTGTGCTGGCTCTTTGGGCGCCACCTGTTTGACACCCTGCGCTACCCCATTGGGCTGGTCGCCTCCAGCTGGGGCGGAACCCCCATCGAAGCCTGGTCTTCGGAGAGGTCCCTGGAGGCCTGCGGGGTCCCCAGGCGGGGGTAAGACTGCAGCGTGGGGGTGGGGCTGTGTGGCAGCTGGGTGAGTGAGGTGCCTGCGCCCACAGACCTGCCGATTACTCCGGGTAATCTGGGGGAAGAGGGTTCTCGCTCTCGGGCTGGTCTGAGTGAAGGCTCGCGGTGGGGAAGAGGACCCTGACCTGGAGGCAGCCCTGCATGTCCGGACAGGAGGGCTAGTTCTGAAGTGCGAGGTGGTGTGGCATTCCTTGGACACGGCCGCGTATCTACCCTGGGAACTGGGTTAAAGAGATGAGTGAGTGAGGCACCAAACGCCCCGCCCTGCCCCGCCCTGCAGCCCTACCTGAGCACAGAAGCTGACCTCTGCTCCCTGGGAGGCCTGGGAGGGAATTGGGTCCCCGTGTGTTCTCAGTGAGACTGCGGGTCAATCAGTGCTGTGCTCCTTTTCAGAAGTTCTTCGCCAGTGCAGGCAGGTGAAGCTGCCCGCAGTCTTGCTGTGAGCCGCGCCTGGCTCCGTGCCTGGCTCCCTGGCCACGTGTGCGTCCCATCCATTTCAGGTCTGGCCGGGATGGCTCTGCCGCTGGCCCCTGGGAGCACTCCGTCCTCTGGAATGCCATGGTCCGCCCGCTGTGCAACATGACCCTGAAAGGGGTGCTGTGGTACCAGGGTGAGCGTCCTGCTGGGCTCCCGTTGCCTGGGCTCTGCTGGGACAGACCAGCACCCAGTGGCCTGAGCATCTGTCGCATGCCGGGTTCTGTGCAGCTGGCTGCTGGGCAGAGGGTGGGCTCCATCGAGTGTGTCGGCCCATTTCCGCAGGGCCGCTTGTCTGGGCCCCTGCTTCTCAGGTGACCACCTCCTGGGCGAGCTGGCTGAGCTTCGTTGGTCATTTACAGACCCTCAGGCTCTGGGAACACCAGGGGCAGGCCCCCATCCCCAGTGGGAGGCTGCCTCCTCGGGGCGTGGCAGGGGGAGCAC